CTCCAGTCCCTGCTGATGGCCGTCACTCCTGATGTTAGGCAGCCATCGCCTACATTTTCATACTTGCAGGCTAATAAGCCCTCAAGCAAGCTCAGCAAACTCCCGAGAGTGAGCCCAGAATCCAAAGGATCTGGTAATACACCAGAAAAGAGAAGTTCCCCCTGTGTGGGAAGTGCACTTTGGCCTGGTTGGCGGCCATGTGGGAAATAGAGAAGGTGCCTGAGGAGGTGCTGGGGGAAGCACTGGAGTGCTACTGGAGTCCCTAAGGCGGGTGCTGCCCTTCTGCTCGTCTAAGGGCAATGAAAATACTGTGCCATGACTTCAGCACCGAGCCTTGCTGGCAATCTCGGAAATAAAGCTAGCAGGAAAAAAACACTTTCTAGCAGTGAATAATTCCCTTCTGTCGGATGTAGTGTATGTTGTTCTCACCAGCTGATGCACTTCTCAGTGCTGTTTTGACTTCCCCTGTGCCTTCTGCACTTGTGTGAGGCTTCTCAAGGCTTCAGCATTTTTTTATGTTATCTGGAGTTTTGTTAGAGATTTCCTTAGGTTTGTCCTCCAGCTCACAAAAGCAACATCTGCAGGGCTCTGACACAGTGACACATAGCTGTGCTCCTGGATACGTATGTACGTATGTGTATATATATACACAGAAGCTGCATTTCAGGACTGGCTCCTCAGGTGTGCACTCACCATGGCTCCTCGCTGGGAGATCCTGTGCTTTGCCTTGTGCTCCTACCTCAGGGTAGCATGGGCTGCAACGGTGAGTACAACAGCACTTCTTATGGCTTTAAGACTTTACAAGAGGGGCTGTGCATCAATCAGTTGGTCTGGGGGCATCTCCAGCCAGAGTAAGGTGTAGGTCCTGGCAACGGGGGAATCCAGAGGCATGAGGGGCTGTGCATCCGACTTACCCTTCTCAATGCAATGCAACAGGGCACTAAGAAAAAAAGGAGAGATGCAGTGGACATACCACTGCCAGGTAAGAATATGTGCTCAGGTATTAGCAGGCACCAAGAATAAACACTCTTAGAAATGATAGGAAAAACACCTGAAGCCAAGCTTTCTATCAACAGGAGGCCCAAGGCCAAAGCAGCCAGAAATCACTTGTGCCAGAGTTCATTTATTTCCTAGCTGTTTTCAAAATTCCTGTCTGGGAAGACTACAGTGATTTCAATGTTTAATTCTGCCTGAGCGGTAATGGCGTTACCAGCCATATCTGTACAATATGATCCTTTCATTCCAAAAGCTAAGGCTTTAAACTAATCTATGTAGCCAAAGGCTCAGAGAAAGTCTGGATAGTGCAGCTGCATCTTTAATACCCACACTCAGAATCAACACACCGTCCAAGTAATCTCCACTCATCTCTGTGCAATTATAAAATAGAAAATAAACATGCTGGCCATGCTAGGAATGAGCCCTTGAGTGCCAAAGGAACGATGCCTCAAACCAAGGCAGACCACTGCCTCCGCACCATAAGGACCAGCCATTGCATTTGCTCTTAAAGCCATTGCTTATATCAAAAGGAGTAAAACCAGTAAACGACGTCACATTTATGCAACCGGAAAATGTGACAGTCTCAATAACTCACAGGTTCAAATGAATAGGGTTCACCTGAAAATCAGGCACTGGTCCCTCAAACAAGCAGCCTGTATCTTAGTTCAAACACAAAACAACGCTCAACTCAGCAGAGTTAACGTAAGGTACAAAAGACAGGCGCAAGTGCTGCCAGCCCCCAGCTGGGTCCACTCCTCTTTCTCCAGGAACATGCCGGCATTTTGGGGAAGGAGGACAGGACAACCCCTGCCTCAGGGCAGAGACAATTGAGCATCAGTATTTTATTGCAAAGACTAATTACATTGCTGTGTACAAGTCACACTAGGCAGTGTGCTCCTTCATTGAAGTGGTACAAAATACATATGGTACAGCCAGTCCCTCTGGTGACGCTGGGCTGCTGGGGGACACCGGCGGGAGGGGAGGGGGACGGTAGGGACCAACATGGCCCCAGGGTGGGCAGGAGCTGGCAGGCACAGAGCAGAGGGAAGACCCTGGTGTCCTGGTGCTGCGCTTTGGGCAGGATGGAAGGGAGGAGGCTGCCCCTGCGTCAGGGAGCCAGGGGCTCCCATCATGTGCAGCGATGGGCAATGCTGCCCTAGGGGACCTGGGGCTGGGAGAGCTCGGTGCCGGCCACGCTCGCATCCAAGCAGCCTCTTCCCCACCTGGTGCCCGGGGCCCGCAGCCCAGCTCCTGCCCCGGCCCCCTGAGCGTGGCCGTGCAGCGTTGCTGCATCCCCAGGTGCTGCTCAGGCCCCTCTCCTGGAGCCGGGGAAGGTGCTGCACCCACCCGGGAGGACCGACAGACGGGAAACAGAAGAGAGGTGCTGGAAGGAAGCGCTTAAAAAAAAAAAAAAGAGATGGAGCCAGGAGCAAAAAAGGTCCCCGTTCGGTTAGTGTTTCCTACGATGATTAAAATAAGCATCTCTGTCCCTGCTCAAGTGACTAGTGGTACAGAAACAAGGGAGGGGAGGCCAGCGGGGTCTGCGCCCCACAAGCACGGCAGAGCGATGCTGCTGCTGCTGCCAACGTCCCTCCCAGCAGCCTTAAATACCAGGGTAGGGAGAGGAGACGGACTGGGCTGCAGGGCAGGGGAAAGCTGGATTAGTAAAATGTACAAGTTCATCTCTTCTATTTACAACCAATAAATATTGAAAAAAAAAAATCAGTAAACTTTTTTGTTTTATACAAAAAAAGTCTCATTGCTGCTTCTCCCATGGTCAGTGTTCGAAACAGTCCGGTTAAAGCCCAAGGTGAGTGGCACTTTCTGTGGGGCAGGTGGTTGCAGCTGGGGCACCTGGAGCACCCTGAGCTCTCTGGCTCCCTGCAGGCCCACGCAGACCCAAGGTCTCTATTTACACAAATTCGGACAGAAATTTGTTCTCCTCCTCCTCCTCAGGCTGGCAGCGCTGGGGGCACGGCCCAAAGCTTCCCCCAATGGTAGAAGAGACACTGGCATTTGATCTTTGGTGCAAGTTTGAACATGGGCCGTCAAAAGTCCAGCTGGAGGATGCGCTGGATCGGGGAGAGGGGCAAGACCACGCAGGCTTCCAGTTGTCGAGAGCACGAGGTGCCCACTCCATCGCGGCACAGACACAGCCCTCCTCCACAGGGTTCTGAGCACCGGTGTGGGGCTGCATCCTTTCTGCTCGCTGCCTCCCAGCCCAGGGCGTCCGCATCGTCTCCCAAGGGAAGGACAGGCAGAGTTGCACATCAGTGGCGATGCCGGTTATCCCGGGGAGGAAGGATGTGGAGGTAAAACTATGCCACGAAAGCCGGGAAGGAGAGCACCCCACCATGGGGGAGGCTTTGCAGCCCTGGGGTGATGGCTTGTGCTCTGCTCCTTGCAAACGGTCCCTCTGCGAGTCACCGCTCCCCAGCTTGCTCCGACACAAGGCACCTACGGCAGAGGCGGGCTCCAGCTCTGGGCTGGCCGGTGGCTGGACTAGTGTTGCACCGTGGAAGTTTAAAAAAAAAAAAAAAAAAGGAAAAAGAAAAAAAAGCTATACCCCCCGCGC